GTGTTTGTGTTCAAAATGCCGTAACTTAAAAAGTACACGAGTGATTTGAATGATTCTTGTACTAAGAGAAAGCTCATTGATTGGGCTTTCTTATCCTAGATTTTGAAAGTGCTACAGGCAAAACTTCATTCAAAAATTGGTCCTGCCATTTGGGCGTGATTTTTTTTTTACTCGTCCTGTACATTTTTGCTTTACTGTTTTCTGACATTGTGTGACAACAGCCGTTGACATTGCCTTTGGGCAGCCAGGCGATGGTGGAATTAATACCGAATGGCGATTATTGCCTGTTGGAAACTCTTCAATTATTTTCAGATTTCAGATAAATTACAAGACGTATTTTGTTAAAAAAATAACTTTCTAGTTAACAGAAAAGAAAGCGACTGATTCACAAATGTGCTAATTGATTTGAAAAACATAGGCCTACCGGTAAGAAAACATTTTTGCGTTGTAGTTGAAATGTAAAGTTGACTTTTCAGAAAAGACAAATTAAGTGTGAATTTTAATATTGTGAGGGGAAAGATAGGGAGTTAGCCCATCCTTTGAATACATCCATTCTCTGAAAACTGAGCTTATATAGATACTGTCATTTGAACGATTGCAGTTGATGGCAACGATACAATACTGTCCAATTAAAATAATTTAAAAGGCAAACATTTCAGGGGTTATTAAAGGGAAAATACAACATTTGCAAACATCAAAAAATAAAACTACCAAATCATTTTGAAATACCTTGCTGGACTGTTAGTGAATGACAGTGTAAAGCATCCTGTAAAATCATGGCACCTGGTATACTGTCATTTAAAAAAAAAGTGGTAATTTTGTGCGTTGGAAACAACTGTTTTTTTCTCTCTCAAATACTGGCCCCAATTGACCATCGCACTTGTTTGCAATCGATTACAAACCTATGAACAGGTACGAGCCAGCTTAACTGGTTCCCTGACCTTACAATTCCCCTATGTATGTAAACTGCTCTGTTTCTTCTTATATGGAGTCAGGGAACCAGACTACAGGAAAATGATCGTTTTTCTTGGTTTTTATAGCATTTTCGAACCCAAAACCTCAGAAAAGTCAGTGTAACTATATTTGCTATATATTTCCAACCCCCCAATTCCATCCATTTCTGAAAATTACAGCAAAAGCAAATGATGTATATTCCCTTTAAATCAATCAGAAGTTTTCCATCATCTCTTTTGCGAAATCTTCCTCCCAAAATGTCCTTGATTCAGCCTTTTTTGGGCCAAGAAAGATGAGTCAGTGAATCTACGGGGCTGTTGTTGCTAGGCAACCACCAAAACCACCTGTCAAGCTCATTCCTTCGATTGGATGCGCGTATGAGTCAAAGTCACAACCAGCCAATCAAACGCCACAATGAAAAAAAAAAAAGGAGATCAGGAGAGGGAGTTAATTTTAATCCGTGAACATGAGGCCCAAAAAAGGGTACCCTGCAAAAAAAAAAAAAATAAAGAAAAATAAATAAACAAAACAAAGCATGTGTGCGTGAATGTGAAATGACACATTTCATAAAATAACAACAAATAAGCGGTTAGCTCCGCAAAACTTTTAAACACATTTAAGAAAAGGACAGTGTTTCAACTCTCTAGGAAAAAAAAAAGCAAAGCTAGAACAGCACGACCATAAATCTGTGACCGCAAACAGGCCTAAAGGAAACAGATGCCTTCCCCTGATAAAATCACCCCTTTTCCTGCCTCAAGTTTGTTAAACTGGGGCCTCCACCAGTAAACTTTTTTTTTGCCGTGTGGCCAGGACGATAAAATTAACAGTTTATCATTGAATTGCAACAATCAGCGACTGTCACAAATCGCTTTAGTAAAATGTGATAATTAATAGCAAATATGGCCTATATTGGTAAGGACACTTGTTGCGTTTAGATAAAAAATTCAATGGTTTAAGTTTGCATTTCTTCCAATGCACTGATAGACTTTAATTTTTTAAATGTGTGGTTTTTTTTTTTAAAGTAGTGTTACAACAGCATGGCCATAAATCAAACAATTTCGTCAGTGAAAATGTTGGAATTAAGTAATAAATTGCCAAAATGAAATCTGCTTGAAAAATCCCCCAAAATATGTATGGTAAACATATTATGTTAACCCTCCTGCTATCTGATTAACCACAGACAGTCAAAAAATTAATCCTTTTCCCCTGCCATGCCTTTTACAAAGGCTAGTCACCAACAGTCAGATCATTATTCCAAGCAAACACTGTGACAAGTCAAAATCAGTCAACAGACAAAAGCAGACAGGTGCCTGCACAGCTGGCTTATCAATCACCTACAGTCAAAGGACAGCTGTATCAAGTTACATGAACAGTCACAGCCAGTCAATCCTGCTTTATGATGTAGGCTGGGAGCTCTTAACAGTTGAAAATAGTCACTTGATTGATTTTGAACAACAGGACAACTTGGCACAGAATGTATGCTTAAATAATTTGAAGAAAAAAAACCGGTCGGATACACAACCAAATTTTGTTTTTCAAACTGCAAAACAACAACATTTTCTCCAGTGGCCTAAATTACAAGGATTCTAAAACGGAAGCAGGGTTTTCCACCCATGCCCTCAATCGACCAATCATCTCGCGATTGAGTTAAAGGTTCCACACGCGATCCCTTATTACGCGGACTTTACTGCGAGGAGGGGGAAGGGGGGAAACGCGAGAAATACAGGGGGGTTTGTTTTGACCCAGCTGAGAGAGGAGGAATAATGAAAAACATCCACTTCACAGCCGGTTCGGAAGCGATGGGTTGGCTTTTCCAAAACGGACTCCTAAACTGACATTCTGCGGAAGGGGCCCAAAATAAAGGGGGAGCGACAAAAAGGGGCGAGGGTTTGGGTCACATGACTTCTTTCTTTAACTCTGATGATAAGTCATGCAACTTAAAATATTAAAGGCTTATTACTCAGAAATGAGCTAAATTAAGAACTGGCTCATAATGCTCCGCACAACATGAGGGTAATTTCGGGACAGTACATGTAATGCATTCAGATTTCATGAACTCTCTCAGGGTTTACACTTTCAAGTAAAGTACATGTACATATGGGTCATTCTATAAATTTGGGGTCCAAAGTGTGACATTTCTCCCGTCCCTGTTACCTTGGTACTTTGTAATTTGCCATTCAAACATCATTAATAGTGACTTCAAATGATTGTTTATTTGTTGGGTAGGTAGTTTGCTATTCATAATCACTCTTGGAGGATGACTGCATTAAGGAGTGCATCAGAATTATACAATCATAGATGTCAGATGTAACAGGGACGGGGAAAAAAGTGGACCCCAAATTTATAGAATGACCCATATGCCAACCTATTAAAAGGTACATGTCAGAATGTTTTGACTGAAGAGCCCTCTATTGTTAAACGAAGGAACCCCATTCCTGTACAGGTCTCTGTGTCACTTTCCGGGAAATGTATACATCACACATAACAGTGCATTTAAGTTGGCAGGTTCGCCTGCGTTTGGTTTCTAATGCATCCAGACACGACACCGTTCTTCAGATTTAGCTTCTAAGGTCACAGACAACAAAAGTTTGCAGACAATAAACCCTCTATTGTCTGATCCAATGCAAAAACTCCTCTACTTTTTGGAGTCATGTAGCCTACACTGTAACACCTACAGTACTGGCCGTACTGAAACGGAATAGATCTGTCTGCTATCAATGAGTGAACCTTACATTTCAACTTGTGTGATATTTGACATACATTTACTCAAGGTATTCTGAATAATCGGTCGTTGGCCGCATGCATGGTGCATTGTGGGTACGGTGCGTTACAATATGCCTGATAGAAACCACTGGCTAATGTCACAGGTTCCCATACTAATGTGGTGCACCTAACTGCATTAACGCTTCACTGGTTACCCAGATAGGCAGGAGATTTTTAGTTCATAAGATTGTTGATCTATCATGCGTGGATGAACTCAAGTCGTCAAGCGCGTAGGGTAATGACATTGTCGACAAGTTATGAAGCCTGCAATAAATGTGCACCTTGACTTCTGCGGAACTGATATACATGTTTTTAAATTTCAAACATTGTGAGAGAAATTATGGGATACCTGTAATGCAGAGGGTTCAAAAGACTCTTTGAATTTGAGCGATTCACTATTCAGTGCGCCACCAAGAGTTTGCCACGGAGGTTAATTTTTTTCCAGTGCAAAGTGGGAGATGTTCAACAAATTCGCAGCTCGGGACATTTAAAATTGTTAGTTTTTCCGGTCAGTAGTTTCGTAAGCGTATGATTCGAGTATACGTTTGCCCCTTTCTTTCTTTTTTATCAATATGGAGTTTTCTGTAAGGCGGCAGAACGCTATGCCTAAATCTATAACAAATTAGCTCAAGTTGTCGACTAAAACACTCATTCAAATGGGTCGTGTTTTGTCGACCGTAAACTTGAAAAATGGACTCTGCATGGCAAACTCTTGGTGGCGCACTGCGTTGTGAACCGCCCGAATTTGGCAGACATCTCTTAGGTGTTTGCACAGCTTGCCTCTCTTTAGCCCTTTTCACTCCAGACAAATCTCGGGTTGACGCAGGGTTGAAACATGCATCGTTTCACACTTGAAGAATTTCAGCCCTGCGTCAACTCTGTGTCAACCCAGAGATCGATTTCGCCCCCGGTTGAAACTCGACCCTGCTCCAGACCAGGGTTGAGATTTTCAACCCGGGTCGAAATTCTTGCCAGTGTTCAAAACAGTAGTAACTGAGCATGATAAGCTTGATTTTGCATGAAACAGGTGTGAAACGATGCGGGGTTGAACGCGGGGTTGAAAAATCAAAAACTCAACCCAAGGTGGCACTGGGTTCGCCAAGGGTTGAGTTCAACCTGGGTTGAGAGGCTCTAGTGTGAAAAGGCTGCTAAAGATGGCTGCCATGGGAAAGGATGTGTACATCTTCCTGGGAAACAATCGAGCTCAATGACTTCCACAGGAAAGGATCAAAAAGTGATTAAAAAAAAGAAAGAAAGAAAGTCACGGATGGAGGGACACTCACCAACTGGGCTTCCCGACAACTCGTCCGGCAGCTCGAACCCGGTGGGCACTTCCTGGGCATTGGGCTCGGTCTTCACAGCACTCGTCGATTCAGACACGTCGACCATTCTGCTGTATCGGTCCGACTCCTTCAGCGACTCACCGGGGCTGGCCGCCTGCACACGACAGGCCATGGCACGCAACCGAAAATCAGGGGGCAAGGAGTGGAGAAAGGGGGGGGGGGTGGTGGGTGGTGAGGGAGAGAGAAAAAAACACAAAAGAAAAGAAGCAGTTAATGTGTGTGTTGTACGCTAAGAGAAAGGCAGGAAATTAAGTTACAGGAAGGAAACGACGCTGATTTAGCAAATTAGAATATTCAACGGGTGGGAGGCTCGGTAACAAAATGTGGCCGGCTGGGGGCAGGAGAGATAAGAGATGGCCTGTAAAAACGCAACGGCCTTAATGACTGCAAGGTGAAGGGGGAAAAGGGCGATCCAGGCTGACCTCAGGTTTATTCTAGTTTGAAGGGGAGAGGGTACCGTTGATTGGTGAAGACGAAGCTCAGCTGTGCCACTGATAAAACTCCCTTGGAGGTTTAGTACCCCACGAGTCCACATGGTCAACCCATTAACTTTCTGACAGACACTGACCCAAGAAAGTTGCACTGGTTAATGTAATGGGATTTCCAGATCCAGGTTTTGGAGGTGAAAAATTTTCTATCCACTAACTCTTATCACCGCGCTTTTCAACATTTAGAGGAAAAAATATTAAAACTGCTCAAACAGGTTTTAAGATATCCACCACAGCTATAGTAAGCGAAGCAAACCAGCAGTACGTAGCAGAGCGCAGTACAGCACCGCTGACTAAGTCGGGAGAACACTCACAAAATATGACGACGCACAAAACTCAAAACTCACAGACAGCGTTTTTGAAGTATGATCCTCCGACGCCACAGCCATGAAGAACTCCACAAGAAAAATCTTGAGAATTTCAGCGCCGGCCAGTCAGTCGGAAAATCAACACAGAAAAAAAGAAGGAGATCCCTCACACTGCCTTTGCTGGATTCGCCGCTCTACGGACTGACACTGCCATGGCCCAGTGAGCAGGGCCCCAAACCAACTCTTCAGCTAGCAGTGTGCATCACACACACACACACAAGTGTATTAAAAGTTGTGAATCAATAACATCTGGGATGACTCATTAACAAGCCGCCTGATTGGCCAGAAGATAATTGGCAACAGTGCTCCAGTATGCTAATCAGGTGACCCCGGTCCCAGCAGAAGGGGGAGTCTATTTTGACGAGGGGGTGTAACTTGCTGAACTTTAATTCGCTTTCCTCCGCTCTCTCTCTCTCTCTCTCCCGGACACAAAAAAAACTCAAGAACTGTGAAGTACGCCACTCTACTTATCACAAACAGGTGGGCCTCCAATTCCAAGTCCTAAAAAAAGAAGTCCTGAGCTAAAAATAGACCCCAGGTGAACAAGTAGGCGTTGACAGACAGCCCAAGTTTAAAGTAACCACACTGATTGGTTGCATGTGATTGGTTAAAGTTGAAAAGTTGAGAAATCCAAATATAGGTCTTTGCCTGCTGTGCCTCTGCTGGCATGCCGTTTCTCCCCGTTGTGACAAATTAGGCCCCTACGTCTGTTCTGCAGCCACGTTATTAGTTTTCAGCCCGCATTTCTTACTTTTTCCGAGAAATATATGTTCGCCATCTATGAATAATGGGCTACGGTCTGGCATCGCAGCGATAAAATATGTGGTGGCCATAACAGATTTTTTTTTTTTTTAAATATGCAGATATTTACACACCAAAAAGAAAGAAAACTTTCTGAATAACTCAGAAATCCCGTTAGTTGATGTTGTGTTTTCAGGACATTGAACTCTGTCCATTGTCTGCCCATCAAATCAATTATCACAAGATTAGCACTGATAAGCGAATGTTTACCAGCTTGGGGGTGTGCACAGTGATACTGACCAATAGGAGAGCTCACAGTGGTCTTTTGTTGACCCAAGTGCTCAGAATTAGCCTGGTAATACCCTGTTAAGTACACAACACTTATGTCTGGTTTTCAGAGAAATCAGAACTCCCGATTTTTGAAGTGTGAATGAACTTCAAGCAGGCAGAAAAGAATGAAATAGTTTGGGCATTACTCAATCCTATCTAAAAAACTGGGCTGTTTACATCCGAACAATATGTCCAAAGTACAAGAATGTTCAACACACAACCAAAACAGGCATTTGCGTTCAATATTTGTTGATGTCAGTTGACCAATTTCTTTACAAAAGTGTGGGGTTAACGGAGGGACAAATCGTTTACACGAGGTCAACTTTAATTGCATATCTGCTGCACTAGTACAGCACAATAATGAGAATAACTCATGCATACTAAGAACGGAACAAACAAGTATTCAGAAGCATAACTGCCTTTGTTCGCATACTTTTGACTGATTCATACATAATCAGCATTTAGAGGAAATCTTTTCCCTTTCGAAAATTTGTTTTCTTATAAGTCATGCACTGCAATTAACATCATTTGTTCACTTTTTACGACTTTTTATACCAGTCAAATGCCCAATATGAAAAATTCATATGGAAATTATGAAAATTTTAGTAAGAGACAAAATTGGAGAGATTTCATTTTTGTGTTTTTCTTCACACTTTGGCTCTATAAGTCATGCAGTTGTTCAAGTTTGCAACCTGGTAAAGTCAATCACAGTTTTAAATATTTTACCCAGTTAATGCTGAGTTTATACTCCTGGGTGGAGAGAGGCAAGTGGGGGTGAAGTGGCTTGCCCAAGGACACAACATACAGCCAGCAGCTGGATCCGAACCCCTGACCCTCTGATCAGGAGTCACAAACCCTAACCACTAGGCCACACTCCCCCCCCCCCCCCCCCCCCCCGGTAAAAAGTGAATTTAAATTCAAAATGAGACACAATGATGAAAGATTGTTCTTGTGACATAGCCTAACATGTGAAAATGGAAAAAAAAAGTTCAAATGTATAATGTATGATGCAAAGTCCCTGCAACAAATCACAAAGAATGAAATTATGATCCCACTCCAATCCACTTATGTACAGAGTCAATCAAGTATATTTATAGATAGGCAATTTCTTTTTTTAATGAAAAATGACCACAATTACCGAAATAAACCGACAGGACACAGATACAGGAAATTAAACTTGAGAACATTTTGGACCAACAAAAAGAAGAAAATTGAGAACATTGGCGTAGACTATAATCAGCAAACACTGCACAAAGGACATGTACATGCATAGGCCTACTATCACCGTTACACTACATAGGGGAATTCCCTTAATAATACAATGTATAGACATTGCTTCCTTCCGGTTTGCCACATCAATACAATGTATTACAATGCTTTATACAATATCTTTGTATTACAATACAAAGCAGAAATAAGAAACAGTTTAGCCATGGGTTAACTGATTGAAAAGCGAAAGAGTATTCTTTTTTTTTTCATTGGTGAGATTTGCTCTGGGACCCCATGTAGAGCATTAGGCTACATGTTCACTAACCACAATCCTTTGAATTGGGAAAAGTGGATTTCTGGGATTAACATAATCCTTTCCTTCCAGGCAAGCGCTGGGAACTACAGTTATTCCTTAATCCCAATTGTTGTCGCTTTTCGTTACTGTTAAACCTGAAAGGTGTTTTATCGGGTCGGATTATTGGGGTCTGCATACACTGAGCTGGTGGCTGTGGGGTGAGGTCATGATTAGGTGAAAATAATCCTTTCATAAGTCTAGGAACATGCCCCTGGGTGATGCGAACGACACTTTATTAGAAAGCTTTCAACACTTCTATAGCAAGTGTTAAAATCTTGCGATAATTATCACTACAGGTGTGTGCACTGCAGTGCTTACTTGCAATTGACACAAATCGAATCTCACTCATTTCCTAATTTTCTTTGAACGGATGTTCACAATGTCATCTCTACTACCCGAGTGACGACGAATGTTGTGTGAACCCGACCCGAAACCAAAACCGACCCGAAACCAAAACCGACCCGAAACCAAAACCGACACGAAACCTACCCAACCTGAAACCGACTTCTGTTCGGATCGGGTCAGTTTTTCCATCATTTCAGTCGTGTCTGGTCAGTTTCGGTTTTCATTGGCGATTTTTGGATCGGGTTGGGTCGGTAAGGGCTAGGCCATCTTGTGAAAAACCCGAAATAAACCAAATGAAAAAATATTGCAACCTGACGCCACCTTTTTCATCACGAATCATCTCAATGAAGGTCATTCTTTGCAAAAATGATGATAAGACATGAATCTGGGACTGAGAAACATTTCCAATTTTGTTAGGAAATACTTAGAAAATGTTCTTGACTCTCCATAGACTTTGTATACAATCGCGGAAGTGGCGTCAGGTTGCAACATTTTTTTCCAAACCAAAAGAACCCCTGAAACAGTACGGAAATTCACGCGGTGCAATTATTGCAGAGTGCAAAGGCCATTTAAACTGGGTGTCAAATAGCTATTTGTATAGGTCACTAACAACATTAGTTGATTGATGTCGAAAAAAGGTGGGGCGATATTAAGAGCTTTTCTCGGCCGTAATAATCATCCATTTCCTTGGCATGTTTATCTGATCTAAACAACGCATGATGATCTTGGGAAACAAAATGGTCTGACATCCCCAAAAATCCGAGATCAGTAATTTAGCCAAATATTCCAAAGCGGGAAACGCAAGTTAAACACCTACACTCACCTTGTAAAACCTCACCATCTCCAGCGCTCTCGGTCTGGGCTTGCCCGGCCTGAAGCTGTCGTGGCTGTGACTGTGGCTGTGGCTATGTATAATAATATGCGTCTTGTGCGATGCGTCCAACATGGTCATGTCTGGTACGACCATCGCGGAGTCCGCCTCGAGCCCGTTGTGATACATTGTGGGGAAAATCCTACACGAAAAGAGAAAGCGGGTGGACATTTTACATGAGAAAATGGGTAATCCTTACTTTTAGGACACCTCTATTTGTACGAGTTCTGTTCAAAACTGACTTTTGCAGATGACTGTCCAGTACCAAAGTGACTTTTGCAGGCTAAAGAAGTCTTTTTTCTTCAGACAAACTCATGTTAGTTATAATTTTGAAAGCACTTTCAAAGAAAATGTGACTTTCCTACCTTTTTTTGCAGTTCGCCATCTTGCTTTTTAAATTTATTTTCTGTTTGTCATCGTCGTCTTTAACCCCTCTTAAATCAAAACCCTGCCCTCTTTCTACAAAATTAAACCTGCTGATATTCAAGAGGTGTCATTGCCAAATGTTCAAATGTGTCAATAAATATCAGAATGTCATAGTCAGCTGTTTTGGTGAGTCTTTTAACCTTATATAGGAAAGGGGTCCTAAAAGTAAGGATTACCAGAAAATGATATATTTAACGGAAGATTGACAGGAGACGCAACCTTTCATGCTGTGATTAAATGAATGAATAAGAATGATGACAAAGTAAAAAGCTCTGTTAGGGTATAAAAGGTACACATAGCTCATATGATTTATGGAAAAGGTCGGTAGCAATGAAGAATAGTGTGCGACAAACGTCAAAAGGCTTGAATAGACAGTGTATTGAAGTTAGTAGGGAATTCAGTGTTAAAGAATTGTGGTTTTTACAATCGCGGTTATTAATCGAGGATGACAAGAATTTCAGCACATGATAAATATCAATGACCGTGACAGCAGTTACGAGATAACTGTACAATGACGGCATCAATAAGATCGAGTTGCATTCGTTATTGTAATCAGACCCAATCGTAATGACAAAGGTTAAGGTATCGACAATGTAGTAAAAAATAATCAAAATGATTTAGGGTGGAAACAATATTTATTGACAACATTTTTGTCACGGAAGACAAATATATTTAATGATCAAGATAAGACTGGATATCTGACAAAAATTTCTAAGCTATCAAAAAGTTCATGGAAACAATGAAATACCCTTTAAATAAATAAAACAACACATACACAAAATATGTCAAATAAGTGCAGGAAATCTAAAGGTAAAATAAACTAATTTTAAATTATAATTTAAATTTGAATTTAAATTTAATGTAAATTCAGAATAAAATATAGATCACCCTTCCCATATTTTATCCTTCTTTCAATTCACTCAAAATTATTGGACCAACATCTGTGAAATGAATCTCTACTCCACTGTCCCAACACTTCAAACACATCGAATTCAAAGAATGAAAATAACCAAAACAAAAGCGCAGAAACGTAGAAAAACGTAACAATTTTTTAATGAAACTGAAAGGCAAATTACAGATTAACAAAAACCGGTAAACATCAGAACTGAAGTTGTGATCTTACCTTAAAAAACTACGAAGTCATGCAGGATACAGCGTCCGTGAACCCCGCTAGAGATGGGACGGGGGCCGGAGCGCGATCGCCTCTGCAGCTGGTCTCGCCAAGATACCTGTGGCTTGTGTATACCGCGCCGCACTTCACCGCTCGATCGACCGGCCGATGACCCAATTACTCGTCCGTACTCAAAACTTGGCTGGCCGCTGGTAAAATCCAGAGTAAAATCGTCTGGCAAACCGCGTGAAATTGAGAAGGTGAAATCAATCCACTTGTTCGTAACGTGTCTGAGATGTGTCACGTCGGTAATGGGGCTAAATGGAAGTGTTTTGATGTTATGAAATTCTCCAAAATAGAGCATTCATGTGCACGAGGGTACACGCTGCTTTTCCGAGTGTGGTATACTGTCCGTGTACATGTACTTTAGCAATGACACATCACACTGCACATCAACGAACGACAACGTGGTTCGTTTTGATCGTACACATGCGAAATCAGTCCATTCACAAATTTTTCCCAATGGTGTGTGGGTCATTATTCCTTTTCCTAATTGGTCAATATTGACCCGAGGGCGGGGCTTCTACGAAACGGCGCGCTGACGTTTCCCGCAACGTCATCATTGTAAATATTCTGCCGAACAAGTGCGGCGCGTTGGCCAATGAGAGGCCGATTGAAAAGTGATCGGCAGGCCACGTATATAAACAGTCTGACGTGCGCCGATGCATAGTAACGCATGGCTTAATATGGATTTTCATCATGTACAATACGTGTGTACGTACAAGTACATGTACAGTACATGTACACTGTACATGCAATCTCAGGGAGAGATACAAATTACAAATGCATATGTTTATTTCGTCGATGGTCGAACTAAATTGAGTTTAATGAGAAGGGTAAATTCCCTCCTTTTTTAAGGTTATTGTCAGGCATCAATGTTTATCCTGTTTTTACGCCGGACCACACTTTCCATGGGAAATTTACGCCTTGCATCAGGCTTCTGGTTCTCGGTTCGAGGATCTCGCCACAAATCTGTTGCCATGGAAATCTGTGCGTCAGCAATCTGGTTATCCATTTTAGGCACACTTGTTACGTGATTATACTGCAGCATCTGTTCAATACATACGTCTGTTATCTCCTTATCCTTGCCCAAACCATCCAGTACATTTTACCTTCGGCCATTGTAATTACACAAAAATTGTGATCTATAATAACTATCCCAATCCACGCTCCTCTCAAATGAATTGAAAGTGAAAAGGGTAACAACGTTTATTTTCATTCGAATAAAAAAAAAACACGGCCACGAAAAAGTCAAAGTCTTAATTTAAAAACCTGCTAGTTTGCCTTTGATATAAATTTCCAAAAATAATACATGTCACAGTCACATGTGCAGAAAAATGAAAATGCATCTTGTTGTGTATAAAAACACCGGTATTTATAAAAAAAAAAATGAGCCTCTTTATATGTGGCACACATTATAACAGATCGTAGTATGAAAAATGTATGAGAAAATGTGTATGATGAAATATGTATGATGAAATATGTCAAAAAGTTTACAAAACACATTAATTATCATTATTATAATGACAAACCGTTATTATTATGGCCATCAGACCGTGACAGTTAAAAAGGGAGAGATTAATATTATTATTATGCCGCAATTAATATATTTTTTTTTATTTGCCAACCGATTTTTATGACAAAAACTATTGATAACAATTTTATATTTTAGAAGAGTCGTAAAACTGCAGGAGATATATATTTTTTTAGCAGGGCATCGAAACTCCACCGATAAATAGTATGAATTACCAAAATGTCCTATTTTTAATTTCAAAATAAGTCAAAAAGTGAAGCAGGTTGATTTTGTTTTTGGCAATACGTGTTAATAAATATACACATTTCCTGAAAGATATACGAGTTCTTTATATTTTGAAAGCCGTACACAGAAAAGGCGCCCACGGCAAGCGCATGCAGTTTAAAGGGACGGTACATCATTGGCTTTTGCTGTAATTTTCAGAAATGAACTATTTGAGGGGTTAGTATAATAGATCAAATATTGTTACACTGACATGTTTGAAGTTTTGTGTTCGGAAATGCTGAAGAAGAAAAAAAACAAGAAAAACAAGAATGTTCAAGTAGTCTGGTTCCCTGACTCCACTAAAGATAATGGATCAATTTATAGTTGCCAGAAAATTGTACGGTAAGGGAACCAGTGTAGCTGGCCTGCACCCGTTCATGAACATGTAACCAATAGCAAACACAATTTGGACTGAAAAAAAGGTAAATTTCGGAGCAGTAGTTGAAAAATAGTTAGGTTTTTCCAACGGTGGTCGGCCGACCACCGTTGGAAATGTATACAAAAATACAGTTTTCTTGGAAATGACTTCACACCAGGTGCCATAATTTTACAGGATGCTTTAGACTGTCATTTACCAACATCCTAGTAAGGTATTTCGTAAAAACTTGGTAGTTTTATTTTTCGATGTTTGCAAATGTTGTATATTCCCTTTAATTATTATACTGCACTAAATAAATATGGAAACGTCTGCTTAGTATTACACTGGACTGGAGTTGAACAGTTCATTTTTTGTTTGTTGGGGGTGTTTATTATTTTGTTTATACATTTATATAGATAAAGGTCTACCTTGCAAAACAGTAAACATTTAACAATTATTATAATCGTTGAGCGTTTATTTTCACTGTTTATCTATATATACTTTCGGACGAGTTATGTTATAACTTGTAAACGAGGATCATCCAACCATGGAGCTAATATATAGCTGCTCGATCTTCAAGCTTTCAAACTGCGATAATTAAAATCCACAATGTTTTGAAGGGGGGGGGGGGGTTGTTCCGCCTAGTAAATCACTAGGAAAATATATCACAAAATGCGAGGAAATTATGTCTGAAATATAACTGGTGTTTTTTTTTTTAAGTTTAAAATCGAGGCGTACAGTGTTAGCAGGAAATTGCTTGGCCGCTGAAACTTGCCTTTTACTTTTAGCACTGAACTGAGTACCGACGACATAAGCACGTTCACATGTTCCAAACGATTAACCAAAAACATACATTTTCACCTTGCAGAAACAAGCAGGGAAAGCACATTGGAAAAGAATCTAGCTTGAAAAATGGTGTTATTTGCCGGCACCACCTAAATTCGCCCGTAAATCCGTAATCTGTTATAATGCAGTCACGGTGTATCGCAATGCCAATTTTCACTGATTCGTGGTGATTGTCGCGCAAGCTGCAAAACATCTGGCCTTATTTCGTACCCCTTCTGGAGATCCCCCCAGCACACGAGGATACCACCTGGTCCACCAAAATGACCTCTGCTGACAATCATTTCTCTTTTACCTTTTTCCTTCATCATTATTCTCTTTTTATTGCATTAGCCATTACCGAGCCGGCGTATTGACGATCGCCATGCGCCGAGTGTCCCAGTGGGACACGCAGTACTTCAGCTTCATGTCTGCGGTTGGCGTTTCACCCCGCAGGCAATGTAAAAGCCGCGATTTGCCGAATCGGCCAGGTGTTTCCTTGGCGATAACGCAGGTGGGTTTTGTAAGTGGTTTGATCAGCCAGGGTAGACTGGCCTGCCGAGTCTGTCTGCTCAATTTTTGGTGCAGCGCGTTAATGTCGGTCCACTTTTTTCCCTGTCCCTGTTACATGACATAATCTATGATTTTCTAATTTTTAATGCACTATTTAATGTAGTCGTCCTTCGAGAGTGATTATGAATAGTACACTACCTGCCCGACAAATACAGAAAAGTCGATTGAAGTCATTCTTAAAGGGAAGATACAACATTTGCACACATCAAAAAAGAAAGAAAAGAAACTGATCAAATTATCACGAAATATCTTACTGGATTGTTAGGGAATGACAGTCCAAAGCATCCTGTAAAATCGTGGCTCCTGGTGTGTTGACATTTTCAAGAAAACTTGTATTTCAAGTTCCAACGCTGGTCGGTCGACCAGCCGTTTTGGAGAAAACTGTTTTTTTTTTCTCTCAAAAACTGCTCCTAATTTTTCATATTTAGTTATTTCGCATTTTCTAATTTGCAATTGATTACACACCTGTGAAGGGTTACAAGCCTGCTAGACTGATTCTCTGACCTTACAATTCCCCAAAGTCTATAAATTGTTCCGTCACATCTTAAGTGGGGTCAGGGAACCAGACTACAAGAACATGGTTGGTTTTCTTGGATTTTTCAGCATCTCCGAACCCAAAACGTGAAGCAAGTCAGTTTAACAATATTTGCTATAACATACTAATCCTCCGAATCCTTTTATTTCTGAAAATTGCAGCAAAAGCGAATGTTGTACATTCCCTTTAATTATACCCGATTGGCAAATTACAAAGTTCCAAGGTAACAGGGACAAGTACACGTTGGATTCAATACACTTAAAGGGAATATACAACATTTGCAAACATCGAAAAATAAAACTACCAAGTTTTTACGAAATACCTTACTAGGATGTTGGTAAATGACAGTCTAAAGCATCCCGTAAAATTATGGCACCTGGTGTCGAGTCATTTTCAAGAAAATGGTATTTTTGTATACATTTCCAACGGTGGTCGGCCGACCACCGTTGGAAAAACCTAACTATTTTTCAACTACTGCTCCAAATTTACAATTTTTTCAGTCCAAATTTTGTTTGCTATTGGTTACATGTTCATGAACGGGTGCAGGCCAGCTAGACTGGTTCCCTTATCTTACAATTTTCCGACATCTATAATTGATCCATTTTATCTTTAGTGGAGTCAGGGAACCAGACTACATAAACAGTTGTGTTTTTCTTGGTTTTTCCAGCATAACACAAAACTTCAAACATGTCAGTTAAACAATATTTGATCTATTATACTAACCCCTCAAATAGTTCATTTCTGAAAATTACAGTAAAAGCCAATGATGTACATTCCCTTTAAGGAATGACCCCAGTGGATACACCCCTATTAATGCAAATTGAAACCAATTACTGTGTACTTTTATACAAATTAAAAACGTGCTATTTTAAATCTTCTTTGACATCTCACACGGGAAATATAACATAAATGAATAGAGTGTTAAATTCATACTATTTTGGTACTGCGATGGCCCCGAAGTAGCAACGATAATGCGCAGTTGACATCCGCCTGCAATTCATTAATACGTACAAGAATCAGTCTTTTGTTTACCGTATATCTGTTGCTGCTTTTTTCCCCCTAGTTACATGACTGTTTATTCGCGTTTCGAGGTGACAATTTGGCAAAAGGTGGATTAGATCCCCCAATTGGTGGATCAAGTGGGAACGGGGTCATAATAGTGATCCCTTTACTGGTCTTTCCTCCGATTTTTTTATGAATAATATATTTCACTAGTACAAATAATAATAAGAAAAAGAGCGCCAAATTGCCAAAGTATACAAGGCGCTATAACAAAGAAATGAAAAAGGGGAAAAAAAGACGAGAAAAGAGGACAGGTAGCTACGATTTGGGGAAAAGGTGGGTCTTGAGAGCCTTTTTGAAGGACAAAACACTGCCAA